CCTACGACATGATTGAGTGACCAGAGGAACTTAAACGCATGCGACTCACAGTTCGTTGAGTTAAAGCTGTCGTCTAGGCTGCCACAGCAAACTGCCACCCCCAGAGGAAGTCATCTAGGGCCGCCACTGCGAAGAGGAAGTCATCTAGGCCGCCACTGCGAAGAGGAAGTCATCTAGGAGGCCACTGCACGCCGGAAGTTGTCGTGGAAGTCATCAGGACACCATCGGGACCACAGTAGAGGCAAGCTGTAACAATTTGTAGAAGCAAGGAATATTATCATTTGTTCTTGAAAACGAGATGATTATTTCAAAATTTTTGATATTATTTATTATAGTGAATTTCGAAATTGAAGTAATTTTGATTAAATAATTTTGAAAAAATTAAGAACTCTTTAAATGAAAAAGATTCAAAAGCTATTAAACGAAAGGTTTATCGAATAAATGACAAAGATACTTACATTTTGAGCTCTGAGAGCACCGCCCAATGGTTTCTTCAAGTGGTGCACTGATTCTAATACCGGAAACGAATTTCAGCAACAATGAAAATATTAAAAAAAAAGCTAATAACGCGACCGTATATGTTACATCCGGCGAACAAAAACACTGACTCTACCTTCGCGTGATTTACTGTGAATTTAATGAATATATTTATTTGAAGAGCTGTGTTGCTCAGAAAAACAAGAAAAAAATTTGTACGCAAAAACACTGACTCTACCGACCGCATTGCGCGCGGTCAAATTTCTGGAAGAAAAACTGTTTGTTAGTAGACGGGACATAGAGGGTGGTCAATTAATTTTTCTCTTTTATTTCGTACCGAGTGTTCGTCAAGAAAATACTGTATCCTTGGAGAAATGTAAAAACATTTCGTAATTGTTCATTTTGCATTAACACAAGTTTTATATAAATATCAACGTTAGTAATTATCAAGATCCATCGATGTCGCAGTAAAAATACTGCGACACAATGAAATAGATTTGTGAAGAGTAAAAAAAAAATAAAGATGTTTGTTATTAAAGTTATCAATTATTATTATATTACCTGAATCGAGTCGCGTAATATTTCGCGATTTATAAATATTCGAAAATCTTTGCACAAATTAGAATCCCATGCCTAATTAATTCATGCCATAAACGATTATTTTAGCGAATATTTAAACTTGCGTCGAAATTAGTACGTATCAGAAGTTGTTCTCTATATAGAGATAGTAAAAATGATGGAAAAGTAATGTTAATGACTCTACAAGATAAAAAAAAGCGCGACCGAAATGCAGCAAAAGATGCAAATTATTTCAATAAAATCAAAAGACTCTATATTGCTAAAAATTCCATATTCGAGCACAGATTGAAATGATCAAACCACGAATTCTATTTTCGATTATATAGAAATGAATTCCGTTCGAAAAAAAGAAGCTTAATCTGTTCTTCCTGCATCTTAGTATATTACTCAATTAATTAAAATGTTTATATAGGTATACCTATCTGTAATTATGCAATAAATGTGTACCATGTATTGCTATACATTGTTATATACACACATAAAATCAATAATAATTATGCAATAAATATGTACCATGTATTACTATGCACTGTTATATAGGCACATAAAATCAACAATGATATGAAAAAGAAGAAATGTATACATACGACCAGTATTGAAATAATAAATTTAATATTACCCATTACTCGTAAACGTTACCATCAAACAAGTCTCCCCCTCTCTCTTCTTTCTTCGTCAACCAGATATCTTAACAGAAGAAAAATATTAATTTATAACATGTATATCGAAGAGAAATAGAATTGTGTTATAATTAAATAATAGTTTAATTCGAACTCTATTGCGAAAGTTTACGATATAATTTAAAGCTAACTGAATACAAAAATTTTAAAAAATTAAAAAGTTCCTATCTGTTGTTGCAATAATTCGATAAAGTATCAAAGGTTTAAATCAAAGTGTATTAATTCATTACGTTGCAATAATTCGATAAAGTATTAAAGATTTGAATCAAAGTGTATTAATTCATTAAACGAAGGTAGTAAGAGAGTGTAGTGATCGTAAGATAAGTACCAGAAATGATAGAATACGCGAATGTGAATAACACGTCTTGTCAACTCGAAGCTTGGTATAAACTGAATAATTTCATGCCAAGGCATCGTCCTTACGACCGATCGTATTACTCCCAGTGGTGGGGGAAGAGCACGCTTCGCAGTTTGCGTGTTTCGGGAATTTCAAGGCGAATAACAATTCTGAGAATTTAACGTTGAAAAACTATGCCTCGACGCAGCTGTGCTCATGACCGCTAATTGAGCCAACGACCGATACGGCCGCTGTGTTTACGAGTTTTTGTAAACACAAGTTTCGCGGTCGCGTATGTTCTTCACGTTGAAGATACACACGATAAATCCATTGAAATATTCTTTGATTTTATATAACAATTTATGCCCCATTCGTTCAGCAACAAAGTGATAGAAATAAATTAAAAGATTATGTGTCCACTTACATAACTGCTGGAATAGCTTCCCGCTTTTTCAGTCGATTTCGAATACGAGATGTCATGGCGTCGATACGGCGTCGTTTTAATGTTCGTTCTTTTCGAACATTTAGAACAGTCAAAAACCTGTAACAGAGTAAACAAATGTTTAATTGAAGGGAAATTAAACAAGTATAAGCTAAAAGAAACGATTAGAAACACTTAAAGATTGATAAATTAAATTTATAATACCTTGTTATCATGTAGGTAGTATGTACGTCTGTCATCTACGACATCCCGAAGCAACTGAGGAATTCACAAGTGTCGTTGCTAGGAAACTAAAAGTAGGAGTGGGGGTAACCCCACTACCAGCCCACTTATTTGAAAATTTTCAAATATCATATAATATTCTAGCATTAATTATACTTTAATTCTATTTCACTTTCCTTGATAATATACCCGATACGTCATAATTTCTGTCACATACACCGGTATAATGCTTTTCTCTTTTTTGGCGCCCAAATTTAAAAATTCAGCGGGTTTCGAAATAAATTAATCGTACAGAAACACAAAAACTCCTTCAACACATTTTAATTGCTCAGAAACCCAATAATCTCCAACACAATTAATGCCCACTTTTTAATTTGCTGATTTAATCAATATTAGGATACGTGTCCATTTGAGAGTAAAACTATCGCGAGTTGCTCTCGAGAGTCAAATTTATTAGTGTCTATGGTATTGAGAGTGCTAGCAGAGAACTGAACACATAATTTGAGAGTACTCTCGAGAGCAACTATTTCAATTGCGCAGTAGTCACTTTTATCCTTTAAAAGGTTTCTATTGTGACACGAAACACCTTGTTCAAAGTGTTTAGGAGTGCAAATTTCGAAAAGATGTTCAGTATTTCGGACGTTCAGGCGTTTTGTAATATACCAATCTTTACTGTTAAGAACTCGACAATTCAATCAACATAGAAGACGAAAAAAATTAATCAACGACATACACTTCTCGATATCACTTGTATTCACTTTCAACTTACAAAAGCAATTGTTTTCAACATAAACGTTCGTTTTGTACATGATTTTCGCTGCGTTTAAGAATGGTGCTCGGGAGCGTTCGGTAACGCTCGGAAGGATTCGGTTGGCGGTTCTCTTTTCAGGAATCCTGGATACGAAACATTCCATGTCAAATTAGACACTTTTTGCGACTGTCATACGTTTTTTTTCAAATTCAACACTATTATTGGCGTACTAAACGTTAAACTGTTAAAAAATCGAGTCGAACTTCTGGTTATCTAACAAGGAAATATCTCGAAGTGATAAATGACGTCGTGTGTTATTTCATATAAAATCATAAGCATTTTAAATTTGACATAGGTAGGGAAGAAAATGATAATTTATCTGGTTCGTCAAATCATAGACGAGGTACAGGAAAAATTGCGTTACTTTTTTATTTGTAATTTCGTAGTTACGTTTAATTCTAATTGCAATCACTACTAATGTTGTAATCTTATTCTATGCTGAATCGATAACGTTAAAAGCGACACGAAAATGACAAGGGCACTTTCAGCCCTCGTGACGTGACACAAAATTACATTAGATGTTAGGTCTATCCTGTACCTCGTCTGTGGTATAGGTCAGGTCTCATAAGTTTATATATACTTCTGAATTTTGTTGTGGAAAAATAATAATACGTATTTATATGTAAACGACGAGATTATCCAATTTTATATATACAAATTTCTTATTTCCAACGCTGGCGGTCACCCATCTTAACATTAGTCGCGAGGAATGCAGCTTGACTTGGAAAAGCTACCGAAGAGTCACCCTACCCATTCCCCATTTCTCCCCCGACAAAAAAAAAATTGCATTCTTATATTATTCAAACTTAGAATAAATATACTAAATCTACTACAATCATTTCACATAAAATAGTCACTTCTAAGTCACACGACGTTACGAAGGGTCAAATTAAAATCTACAATTGAATCGAAGTGTTATACGATCGAATAAAAAACCAGAATAAATTCTTCTAAAACCACACATAATAACCTGTAATAAAATAACATATTTCACATCCGAACGTATTATTACAAACATGTTATATCACACGTCGTAGTGTAATAGCGAAAATGCTATTGTGAGAAATGTCAGTGCAAGTTAGCAAGAAGAAAGCCGAGTGGCAGTCGAAAGGCGTGGTAGAAGATCAGAGTGCAATCTACATTATTCTGCAGCCGGGGCGCGCGGGCGGCCATCAAGGCCTCTTCAGGTCAACGTGATCCAATCTGCCGTATAAAACGCCCCTCTCGACGATCCTTCAAGCACTGTTGTACTTCTCGTCGCCCCGTTGCCGTTATTCCTCCATTATGGATGCTATATCCGTAAGTACCCGCCCTGAATATTATTCTAAAACTCTTCACAGGCGCATTGTTAACGTTCGATAATCGATTACTTCCTCGTTGCATCTGCGATGTACTCGTAACACAGTGTAACGTATACGCCTCTCGTTTCACTATTCTTACTTTGTGCTTAGCCGCGTTTTTCAAACGTGACATGTTTAAACATCGTCGAGTTCGGAATTGAAGAAAATTTTGAAGATGAGTAGGTTTCCTAAGAGAAATAGGTTTCCTAAGAAACCTTAGAAATAAATTTTCTGCGAATAGTCTTTGAATTTTTATAAATTCCATAATTAATTGTAATTGGGAATTTCCCCTTTTGTGAGAAGTGTGATAACACAATTTACTGAAAAGTGTAATAAATGGTATTTAATACATGTATTATTAATTTTCATTAAAAATTATTTTGTTATTAATTTTGATCTTGCAGCTTCTGATAATGCAAAAGCGCGTTACTAAATTTCTTCATTTATCTGTAATAATAATATTATTGTGAATCGTTAAAAGAGACATTTTTAAATATTCCTTATTAGAAGACAATTTAGAATTGAGCTAATTCTTAATAACAGAATTGAATGAAAAAGAAAAATTTTCTATTATTTCTATGTTAATATGAAAAAAATTAAAATTAAAAATTTAACTTAAAGAAGTCATTCTCGGTTATAATTCTATTTTTTGATTTTATTATTGTTAAAGCTGTAAACTTGAAATTTCCAGGCGTTACTGTTCTGCACGGTTGCATCGACTTTGTGTCAATTGTCGAACAGTCAATACCAGTCACCCCAGCAGGCAGCAATTTTGAGCGATGCGAGATATTTGGCTGGAGATGGAACTTTCGGAGCCGCTTATTCGCAAGAGGATGGCGTTGAGTTCAAAGAGGAAAGCGACGTTTACGGAAATCGTCGTGGGTCTTATTCCTACGTCGATCCGACTGGTCAAAGACGCACAGTGTCGTACACAGCTGGAAAAGATGGCTTCCAGGTATGTTAATACGTGCCACAAAATCTCTTTTTTCAACAATAATTTTCCTTCAGTCGGTACACATAACAGAATTGAAATTTTGACGACAAATAGATTACTATGATACTGTAAAAAATTGAAAAAATCTAAAAATTAAAGAATTCAATTCTACATTCTGTTCATAAAAATAGAAACTGAAGAAACGTTACAATTAGATGATCATCATTAACGTTTAAGTTATGTCCTTTTAATATTCTTTATTTTTCCTGGAAAATTGTCATGATTCAAGTAATCAATGTTCGCGATGATTGACAAATTGGATACAACTGTCCAGTACGATTGTGTAATTAATTTTCACAATTGTATCTTGGATAACAGTACTCATCATCTTACGTAGCTTTGAAACTATTAACTCTCAAATAACTGCTTACTTCCAAATTGTTTCAATCGTAACGATCTACATTTCAAATTGCGCAAAATAAATAGAATATTAAAAAGTGTGTTTAAGAGAATGTCTCGTTAACAAGATCGCACAATATCAAAACACAAAGATCAAGAAGAAAATATGTTCTAATAATAATTCTCAATCATCAACACGTTTACTATTTTCTTACAATAACTCTCAGTACCATCAAACTAAACTGTCCTTTCAACAATTCAGGAGTTAAAATAGTAAACGACTTGAACATACGAAAATTCTAATTCGTGATTCTAATTGCCAAAAATAGTATACTACAAGTGAACTGTACAAATAAATAAATTTAAGTAACCCCATACACCTTCACCACTTATTTTCCCTCTGAATCTAAAAAAAATAATAACCGCTGAAAATTCATAGCGTTCAAGTGACAAACGACACAACTAAGTACCAATACGAACAAACACACATTTCACCGATTACCAAACACTTTTCCAATCGGCACTTTCTATTTTCTTTCACCAAACAGGCTAGCGGAGACGGTATTCCCGTCCCACCCCCACAGGTTCCACCTCAACCAGAGTACGTGCCCCTACCACAATATAATCCACCAGATTACCAACCACCGCGTTACAATCCACCTGCACAGCAATATCAACGACAAAGTCAACCAGTGTACGAGCAACCCGAGCCTCAACCTCAACCCCAACCTGCGTATCAGCCTCAACCCCAGTATCAACCCAGGCCTCAGCCACCACCACCGCCACCTGAAATTCCCTCGTACAATCCTCGACCACAGTATCAACCCCCAACCAGACCATTGCCGCAGTACAACGCGATAACGACGCCACCACCTCGAAGGTTTTACCCTCCGGGAAAGTTGAGCTTCAACAGGACACCGGATGGCTACTCGTACACGTTCAGCAAGAGTTAAGTAACATTAAACGATAACTCTTGTGTAAGGAGGAACGAGTGAGGTCCATTTTTTGTGGGAAATATTTGAGGGGGTTGAAGTGACAGTGGTGTAAGTCAGAATTTTCTTATTGTGAGAAATAGGGGATGTTTATTAGAAATGGTAGGAGAAATTGGACAGTGTCGGATTTGGTACTGTATCGTATTTGGTGTTACCAGAAAGCCTGGCCAAATTGTAACATATTTTAGTTGTCTTTTTGATATGTTGGCGCGTGTAAGGTTGCATTTCAGCATTTAGGCCGAAATTTTTGGGAATGTGAGTTACGCCACTGTGACTTTAATCATTTGTAAAGAGTTGGGAACGTAAGTTACTGGATACTGAGTAGGTTTAACCCTTTCATTGCTGTTGAAAATTTGTTCGCGTTTTTTGGTGCACTGCTACCTTAACCCTCTCGTGACAGAATTATTTTCTTGGGAATTTGTTATTTATCTGTCGATCTGTGATAAATACTAAATTGAGATTAACTTTTGAGACACTCATGTTTCTGAATAATACATCTCATTTCGCTAATACCAATTTTTCATTGTCAAATTAACCCTTTCGCGATGAAAGTATTTTTCTTCTTATTTGTTATTTATCTACTGAATTATTTTTCTTAAGAATTTGTTATTTACCTTTTCAGTCGGTGCTGGATACTAAATTGAGATTAATTTTCTCTCGAGAACTCAAGCGGGACATATGCGTCCCACTGGTCGCGAAAGGGTTAATTCAATCCTTAATGCATTTTCACCTTAATTTAATAAAACGTAATTTTGAAAAGATTTTGCAAAAATCTGCTGCAGTGAAAGGGTTACAGTAAGGATAAATTTTTAAATGAGACATTTCTATTACAGAGGAAATTAGATTACACTGTCTTTATAAGATCTACCTCCATAAAGTTTGTTTAAAGATTTTTAAGTATAAAACACACGCGAGTTGGAAAAATTACAGATTTACTATTTTTAGTTAATTTAAGAAAATTTGTTTATTGGCTTATCGAAGCTTCCATTTTGTTTTATTTCGAACATTATTCGTACTCTAGGCACATAATTTTAATCAGTTTGAGGAAAGAGAAACGTTTAATCTGTAGTATTTCTGTTTTTGTTAATATAAATATTTTCTTTGTTTAATTTATGAATGTATGTTTAATATATCACCATAAAAATTAATAGAAAAAGTTTTTGTATATAATATACATGTACTTTCACCGCACAATTAACTTTTTCTGCTAGATCTTAGCTAAACTATTTAACTTACTCACACTTTAACATTGGATTACTTCGAATCCAATTATAGTTAGCGATATACATTTGAAAAGATTGTACATTAAAGATAGAATGTTGTAATTATTGTACAATAATTTCACACTTAACACGTCTTCTAACTTTGTTTATTTAAGATTTATCAAATCGAGCATTGCACCGAAAAGAAATTCTGAAACTTTTAAGTAATCCTGCATTCGTGAATAACGGACATTGAATTAAATACGCGATCATGCATTCATAATTAAGAGATTGTAGGTAACCAGAGCCTTGTCCATGATCTTACTACAAGGCTTACAGCATGAAACAAGTTGAACTTCCTGCGAAAGACTGCATGAATTTTGCATAAATTCCCGAGGAAGTGTAACGAGCAAATTAATTCATTTATCTCGGTAATTAAAGGATACACCTTGGTACACGTACATTTTCGTTAATTACGGGTATCGAATCACGCAAACGTTCGTACTACAACGCGTTACATCGGTTGGAAAGCTCTGTCGAATTTAATTCACCATGATCGACTGAATTAAAAAAATTTCTTTAAGAAAAAAATATTCTCCTATTTATTCTAATTTGTTCAAATCAAATATTCTTTCTAAATACGATTATTTAAGTGATAATTTATGCTAGATAAAACGCTCAATCGGTATAATTATTCAACACCCTCTAAGTGCATCAAAATTCTTCCGCATTGAAGTTACCCTAAATTCGTAAAATAAAATTTTCTACAAAATTAAAATTATCAACTGCAGCAGTTACGATCTCTTTTCAGTATTCGCAAAGAGTACTACGAAACAGAGAAAGTGAGCTTCGTTTATCAACATTTCCTCCGTGGAATTCTTACAAATATGACCGTCCCGTAAATCTTACAACTTTCCGCTTGAGAAGACGAAAACGTAAGACGAGCCGTGTCAATTAAAATTTCCTATCTGAATCTCGGAATAAATTTCACGAAACGAGAAAGGCGGGAAAGTGTTAAGTAAGAAAATTCGGTAGGAATATCAGTACGAGTAAAGTAAGTTATTCGGTATTTTATGGTCGCCATTGGATCAGATTTTCTCGATCGACTCTCGATCGGTCGACGCTTTCCAGACAATTTCCTTCGACAAATGCGAGCACAATCCCGCGCACTTTGGGGTCACGTTGCTTTCATCTAGCAACCTTTGGCGTTCACCGTGCTATTGCAACAAACTATGAAGAATCCCACGATCCCCGACAAAGAGGATACGTGATCGTTTAAGCTTGAATCATGCTGTATAAATAAATCACGAACAAGTCACTTTCTTCCCACAGTAATTGTAATACGATTGAAACGTCACTATATACTTTGTTGAATTAAAATTGAATTTTAGGAGAATAAGTTTAGCGTAAGGTGATATGAAAACGTATAGATCTCATTCTTGTCGTTGTAGTTTCTGCTATTCGTGGTTTTATTGTATGGTTAATTTCTAGTGTAACTGATTAGTATTGCAGGTGAAATGAGTTGGATGAGAATTGTACTTGTGAAGTGGAAATTGGGGAGATAGAGGACTAAATATAACGTGTTCTAAAGGAAATAAGAATGTTATAATATTATTATAGTAAAATAAGATGGAATATTATAATGAAAAGTAAGGAGAAAGAAGTTATACGTAATGTTATTTATATTTACAATAAGAAATATGCAAATATTAATGCAAGTTTGCTTTGTTCCATTGTTGCAATTTTTGTTTTACTGTAAATTACGTTAGTGCTTACTTAAGCTTCGCGTTCTCCAACTAATCACAAAAAGTTGTATAAACTGTGTAAAGAAAATTATGTAAAAAATATGGAAAATTATGAAATTAACTCATTTATTCTCAAGTTACCTTAACAAAACATAAAAATATTAAACTTCAACATTTACAAAAAAAAGTGAAATCTCGAAACTTTTCCTAAAAGCAACTTTGTCACTCGAAATAGCCATTCGACAGATCCTTCACTCACTCTTAAATAGTCCCAACGAAACGAAAATACTACAACTTCAACAATTTGTATTTACAAGAAAAATTAGAACTTCGATCTTTTTTCTCTTAAACTGTGCTTTGTTCACCGTCATTCACTCATTCTTAACTTGCCTTAACAAAAACTTGCGAAAACAACTCTGTAATTTTTCTTTTAAACTGTGCTTCGCCTATAGCCATTCAAAAGATCCTCCACTCGTTCTCAAGTTACCTTACCGAATCCTAAAAATACTAAACTTCAACACTTGCAAACAAATTGAGAACCTGAACAATTTTCTAAAAGCAACTCGGTCACTCGCATAAAAAAATGTCCATTCAAACCACGCTATTCTCTTTCGCTTTGTCCCTAGTCACTTAAGAGAATCCTCGACGCAAGACCGCGCTGCGTGTCGTCGGACACGAATTACGCCCGTCTCCTTGTCAGCTTCGCCGAGAACGAAGCGGAAGGAAAACGTAACATAGACAAAGGGACGATTATCTCATTATCCTAGCTCGCGGAGATAATACTGGTGGAACTGGAACGAAGGGAAAAATGCAGTTCGGCGAGGCGTTCGTTTACCGGTGTCCGTAATACGGGCGCGGCAAGGCAAACCGGCCATATCGAAGCAGGAACTCGGTAACCTTAGCGGTGGGCCGAAAGAAACGCATACCATAATGTTTCGCGTCACGTCGGTGTCGTTTAAGAAAGTCGATCACGGATTTAATTTACGGCCAAACGGGTGCAGCTCGCGCTGGATGCAACGTGCTCGCAACGACTACATATTTGTCGAGCCACTCGAATGCCCTGTATCCGTGTTCCGCGGTTCGGTCACCGTGCCATTTTCTGGTCGACTCTTGCAACCTGATAGACAAAATTGTAACGGGGCAGTTGAGCGTTGAGCGCAAACTCGGACCACACTTTAAGATCTTACTCGTTACAGACGATGAAATAAAACACAGCTTAGTTACAGTTGTAAAGTAAGACACTTATTTGACGAAAATGGATTTTAGTTATACATTTCTTGTAATTTAAATTTGAACTGATTTATTTTTGTAATTTTTCTAATGTCAAAAGTAAATATACGTATACCGATGCTTTGTTACTTTCATTTTATCAAGATGAGTTCTTACGGAAATTTTGACTTTTATTTTCAATAAATATGAAAAAGAAGAGGAAGAATTTGATTAACTGAAGCAGACTTGTTCTTCCGAGGCCTCGTAATGTTAAGTTATAATTGCAAAATAAAATACCTATTTTTAAATATCAAATTCGTAATTTAAAAACAACTTTTATATATTAACTTCTTTTAGTTTAAAATACTTTTTTTCCTAATGCAAATGCACGTGTACCAATGCTGTGCTGTTTTTATTTTATCAGAATGAATTCTTACAGAAATTTCGACATTTATTTTCAATAAACTTAAAGAAAAACGTGTACGAATTTGTTTAACTGAAATTTGCTCTTTTGAGGCCTCGTAAAGTCAAGTTATAATTGCAAAATAAAATACTTAGTTTTAAATATTAAATTCGTACCATAAATACATTACTGTGTTATTTTTATTTTATTAAAATTAGTTATTATGGAAATGTCGACTTTTATTTTCGATGAATGAAAACTGAATAACAACCGAATAAATACGGTCCTGTAACAGATACTACTTTGAATTTTACACGTTTCTTCGAACGTGCACAACAGAATTAGTAGACTACAGATTTTTATGCAATTATAACATACATCGTTTACCATTTTGTATACTTT